CAGTTGTTGAATATCTTCAAGTTGGTATTTGGGTTCAAGCTCCTCATTTTCATCAACAATTTGAAGATGCTTTGAATAAAATATTAAAAAAACGGTTAATTTAATATAAAAAATTAATTCATTTAAATATTTTACAGAAATATGTATGAACAAAATGTTAAAAAACTTGCTAGAAGGCTTAATGATCCTTATCGTGATACATCAAAAGAAATATTTCTTCAAGCAGTACGTGATGCATTAAATGTTAATGAAGCTTCTTCTTCTGTTTATAATGAAGATATTCAATTTGAATATAAATTGTATGTTTTTTAAATTAATTAAATTAATTTTTATTTAATTTTTAGTGGAAGAAACTTGTGAGATGTGAGACGATGTTGAGTAAATTCGAATTTTTTATTTAAAAAATTATTTTTGCTCTATTTGGATGTTATATTTTGAGCAAAATATCTTTTTAAATCTTTCCTTTCTATTATAAAATTTTTTTCTTTTTCTATTTTACGATTTAAAAAATTTTTTAAATGAAGTATAAAAATTCTTTCTAGTAATTAAATAAATTTAATTAATTTTTTAAACACAAAATAGCAAACATATCTTCTCTTAAGACCTCTAGCTTTTTAAATAATGTTCAGATCAATTTGATCCAATATTAAAAATAATCAACTTTTCAAGAGCTTTAGAATGATATATTATTTGTTTAAATCGGTTGAAAATAAAAAAGATGATTAAACAAATACCGCTAAATAATGAGAAAAAAACAATTTACTCTCTGATCTCTAACCTCACTTGATAATTAAAAATAAAAGTTAGATATGTTTAAAAAATCATAACTTTATTAATTTTAATCTGAAATTTGGAGAGTTATTAGCTACCCTATAAGCTTCATTTTGACTAAATTTCATGTGACGAAGTGCAATTTAGGCAAAGTTAAAGATTTTTAAATTAATTAAGTTTAAATATTTTCATCAATTAAATTAAAAATAATATTTTAAAAATATTATTTATACTTGTTTATCAAAAAATTTTAAATTTCCTTCATGTCTTGGAGACAAATTTATTTTGTGTGAGTTTTGGAAAAATTTTTTTAATGTTGACACCAGGATTAGCCTTTTCCAGATTTTTTTTCCAGATTTGACTTTTGCCACCTTTTGATTATAAACTAATCCCACCACATGTTCTATTGTGTCATACACTCCGTCGTAGTAACCTTCATGGTATATAAAACCAGGACAATCACATAACACGCCAGACGATTCCCACTCTGCTTCACAAGCCTAAAACCCCGCCATTGTATTAAAATACGTTTTGGATTCCCTAATTCATCGTATTCTGTATCCAGTATTTTTTCAATTGTCCAATATGCTTGGTCATTTCTTACCTCGTCTGGTAATACGTCAATTTTTAATAAATTTTAAAACAGATGCTTGGTACGAGGGATGGATCGTGTTGAGAAAAAGTCGGTTCGGGTTCGAATATGGTTTTAAAAAAATAGTGGTCGACTCAGCTCGATGAGCTCTTTCGAATGAGCTATCACACGAAAAATCGAATTTTTCACCCCAAAATAGTGCTTACTCCCCCCAATGGTTTTTCGATTTTCGGGGACCTATATCTCGGCCCACAAGCATCTCCGTAAAAAAAAGAGTGGTACCGTTCGACTCAGCTCTCCGAGACGAATCGAATGGTATGGGTCTTATATCGAAAACTTTCCACCGGTATACTATACTACAGCCTTAATTTTTTTAAAAAGATCTTAATACTGTACAATTGTCCACTGTACAATTGTCTCACTGTACAGTTGTCCCACTGTACAGTTGTCCTGGAGCCCTTTCTTTCTCTAGCAAAACTCAAACGGGAACAGACAAACCAACAAACAAAAATTCTAAAATTTAATATAAGATTTTAATATTTTATTTTACAATAATACTTCAATAAAAAATCTTTAAATTTTGTCAATAAAAAATTTTTACATTGATTAATTTTATAAATGAAATGCCTGTCTTTCCTCTTGAAATGCCTGTCTTCCTTATAAAATCCATTTAAATCAGACATAAAGTTTTAATTACTTTTATTAAATACTAATTCAAAAGAAGTATTTCAATGTTTTTAATCAAATTTTTATTTGTTACTCGAATATTATTTTTAATATTTTCTTTTTGTTTTTCATTTTATAAAATTAATCAACGAATTTTGGTTGAATCCACAGAAAATAACAAAAATGAGGATGGAAGTTTTAAAATAAAATTATTGAAAATGGAATTGACCGAAAGGAATGAAGAAAGTAATAATAATAAAATAAAAATATTATTTGAAGTTAATGCAAAAAACGAAGACGATTATTTATTTATTATTCCTGTTGGAAAGGACTGCAAGTTTATCACTACTTTTCCCACAACTTTTGTTAAGAGTACTGATAAAAACGGCAACAAATTAATAGAAATTGAAAATATTTCAATCTTTTGCAGAAATGGTGTAAGTATTTGTTCATCAGTGCGTGACGGATACATGGTACTGTTGTGTATGGGCGTCAGCCCTTAAAGTGTTTACTATAAAAGCCAGAGAAAACGTCAGTCTATTCGGATCATACTAGCGGGGCTAGTCATGATCTCCTTCGTCTGTCCCATTCCCTTCGCCTACACATTGTTCATTTCTACGTGTGATAAATTGTTATTGTTGTGCTTGTCACATTAGTTAAACCTCGGACACCTCGGGTCGTAACAAATGGCGCGGTCGACAAAAAGTGAAGTGTGGCGAAGTGTAGTGAATTGCTTTAGCAATTAGTGAAGTGATTGTTTGGATTGTGAGTGGACAGACGTCGTAATTAGTGATCGGCATGAGTCGAAGTGAAATGAGTGAATTGTTAGTTAGTGCGCATGGACCTTTTGAGTTAGTGAGTAGTGACCTGAAAAAGGACTCAGTGCGAGTGCTAGTGGTCGAAGTTTAAGGCTGGAATGCCTAGTTTAAGGCTGAAATGCCTAGTTAAGGCTGAAATGCCTCGTGGTCCTGGAAGTGCGCAGAATTTGGCCGATCAAGTCTTGGAGTGTCTGGCATTCAAGAGAATGTAAGTCCAGAAATTGAGAAAAGTGTAAATTTGGCAGCCTACGGGTGGGTAAGACCAAATAAAGAAAATTGAATTGTTAGTGAGTAAAATAAAATTTGGCAGCCTACGGGTGGGTAAGACCAAATAATGAAGTGAGTGAAATAAAATTTGGCAGCCAAAAGGGTGGGTAAGACCAAATAATGGAGTTTGAATTGTTGAGTGAATAAGTGAATTGCAGTGAGTCAAGTGAGTATTGTTAGTGATTGAAGTATTATGCCAGCGCAAGTCAGTGAAGCAACCCAGACTACACATAGTGTAAGTTCAGTCAAGTGTTGCGGTACCTGAGTCTTTGACAGAGGCAGGATGTAACAGGCATCCTTTGAGTGGTTAGTTAGTAGTAGTATTCGAGTGTTAGTATTAAACCACGAGCCATCCTAAAAGTACACGGGAAAACGGCACCGAACTGCACGCTAGCTAATTGTTAGTGTTGTGGAGTTTGACTTCACTTAAGTTTAGTAGTGATGCAATTCAGTGAAATTAAGTGATTGGGCACAGTGTGAAGTAGTGCCGCAATAGAAAGTGTGAAAGTAAAAAAATGGAAGTGAAATAATAAGTGAGGAAAATAAAATAGTGTGAAAGTGAAAATAAAAAGTGAAATGCTTATGGACAAGCAGTGTGACCAATCCAGGACGTGCGATTGCCTTGATGGGAGCTGCTGTATGCACTGTAGACGACCGCTGCCAGAAGAAAAATAAATGTGGAATAGATGACAAATTTTGAGATTTTCGTAAATTGTTGTAATTTTAATTTGTTGTTTTGCTTTATGCCCTTTTGTCATCCCACATTTTTTTGTATTTTGTAGTGAGTGAGTGTTAGAGTGAGACTAGACGAACTGGCTTAGTGAAATTGTATTGATAGCATAAAAGCTATAGTGAATGTTTAAAATTGTAAAGCTTCGGCTTTAAGTGAAAGCCGAACCTTTTTTTCAAGGGGGGAGGTGTTGTGTATGGGCGTTAGCCCTTAAAGTGTTTACTATAAAAGCCAGTAAAATCGTCAGTCTGGCTTAGTGAAACAGTCTAGTCGGATCATACTAGCGGGGCTAGTCACTGATCTCCTTCGTCTGTTCCATTCCCTTCGCCTACACATTGTTTATTTCTACTCGTGATAAATTGTTATTGTTGTGCTCGTCGACGTCAGTTAATCTCGGACACACCTCGGGTCGTAACAATATTTGTCAATAAAATCACAAAAATACAAATTTGTTTGTTTGATTGAAAATAATTCTTTATAGCTGAGAAATTTGAAAATATCAAGTTTCGTCTCCGTTGGTAAAGAATAAAACATTTTTTCAAAGAAAATTTAATATCTTGGAAATTTAAAAAATTTATGCTAATTTGGAATTGAGGTTTTTCCATTTTATCATTCACCTATCTTTATTAGAAAAAATCGTCATCCCTCATTTTTACTAAATTAACTTTTATCGAGTATTTATCAAATAGGTATGTAGTATTGAAAAAGTATTGAAAAAATAAAAATTTTTTATGTAATTCTACCCAAGTTAATGTTGATATGTAACAAAAATGATTAGTGCGAAGAAGTGTGGTGTGTTAAGAAATTATAACATTTCATAACCCCTTTGAATTTTTTGAGTTCTCAACAACAATGTTTAAATTTTTTTCTAAAACTGCAAAAGATTACTCATGTCAGAAATAGTGGTTGATATAGTAAATAGATTACCTAATTCTATCGATTTAGGTTAATATCAAAGGCGAAGATGAAATTAATTATTTTTTAAATTAAATATCAACTTTCCAATAAATATAAACTTAACTGATAAGATTCAATTCTAATTTTATTTAATATTTTTGGACGAAAAAATTAAGAACATTATTTTGTTGTTTTGAATAAATTTTGAAATACAACTTGAATTTTTCTAAACAATGTACGTATTTTTTAGACAATCAAAATGATTTCTCTACCATTCGAAGTTCAACTTCGTATATTAAAATATCTCGATTTCAACGAATTAATCTCTGTTAAACAAACTAATTCTTACTTTTTTAAACTAATTAGCAATTATGAGGGAGAATTAGCACGAATGCAGTTTTATGGCCTCATACTAGTAAATAGTCATTAAATTAATTATATTTTTAATTTATTTTAGTGTAACAAAAAAGAGACAGAGTGTTCAGATAAAATAATTAAACTTCGTTTTACAAATTTTAAGTTTACTTTAAATGATCAACTTAAGGAAAAGGTTAAATTAATTTATAAATAAATTATACATTTATTTGGCTGAGTGTATTGTACCGGTGGTAGAAGTTCGGGACATTGCATATGTCATTCTGGAGACTCTCAGGCTCGCCGAGCTCTTTCAAAAGGCATATGTCACGTCCCGAACTTTTACCACGGTAACTACACTATATTTATTCATTTTTTCAGTGGCAAGTAGCTATAGGTAAATCAACTAGATTGTTTTCACATTCTGGCAAAAAATTATTTATTTGTATGAGTAAGACAGGTTATAAAAAATATATATAATTATAATGTAATAATTAATTTTAACCAATTTGTACACAAATTAGAATATAATTTTTTTTAAAACGGAAATTGCTAGTTCAATTGATCAAAAAAAATTTTTTTCGTTTTCATTTAGCTGACGAAGATCCCTGTTATTATATTTTGAAATTGCCAAACGTCCCAAAGAACCTTAAAGAAATGATTATTATTCGTTGCTGGTTAGAACGACTATTCAAATGTGACTTTGAGCGTGCTGATTTTATTAGAAGAGTATTTAATCCAGAAATGATAAATATATTATTTGATAATGACAAGACAATTCCTCTTCAATTTAATATTATAAATATGTTTCTATATGCTAGCACAAAAAAACAAATTGAGAATAGTTTGAAATTTTATTTAAATCATCTATCAAATTCTGAATATTTTTACATTAATTTATGCCCTGTTGACATTACAGATGATCATATGAATATTTTATTCAATATTATAATAAATAAAGGCAATAAAATACGAGAAATTATTGTTGAGGGTTACAAGTTAGCAAAGCTTCATGATCTTGTTATAGAGGTAAGTTGTTTACAAATACGAAATTATAAATAAATTTAAATTCTAGTATATAATAACATCGAAAGACTGTTCAAATATGGTGCCTAAAATTATTTTTGTGTGTTCTGGTTTCCCTAATCTTAAATTAAGTGAAAGAGCAGAAAATGTTGAAATTGATGATTCAGATTATTTAGCTAACGGATGGGGTCATGTGAGTGCGCAAACTGAGAACTGCCAACAAAGAGCGAGAAACTGAGAGTTGAGTTAACTGAGATCGAGCCAACTGAGAGCCTCTACTGAGTACAAAGACTTTCTATTAAAAATTAAGATTCGGAAAAAATTTTTCCGGGTTGTTTTTGCTTTTTTTCGCTATTATCTTTCTTTTCTTTGTATTTTTACTGATTTAATTTTTTTCATTTATTTTTTTATTTTTAGAGGGTTTAATTTCTTTAATTTTAGGGCACAAATTTAACAGGGGAAATGAAAACAATAACTTTTTTAACCATTGGACCCGATTTTTAAATTAATTTTTTGCTTGAAGAAAAAATCGAGACCATCAACTTAAGGCCGAAAAAATCAATAAAAGTTTAAGTCAACTCGGCTGGCACTTAAAATATTCTTTAGATCGTAAAAAGTGCAAGAAAAAATATTCTGGTATTTTTCTGAAGATTAAAACTACTGGCACTCATTTGGCCTTTTATAGGGGCTCTCAGTTGGCCGCACTCAGTTGACCCGCTCTCAGTTGGCAGCACTCACCTGACTTTTTCCGCCAGATAAAATCAAGATACCTAATTGCCAATATTTACAATCCAAAAGTGAGATTTGAATTTTGCTTTGAAGAAGATATTGGTGGATGGACTTTTTGTAATAGAGTCGAAATAATGAAAAAGAATTGAATATATGTATGAAGGACGAAAAAAGAAATCTTATTTGATTTGTTGGATAACAAAATATTTTTTTAGATTAATGGTCTTCATTGACTATTGATAAAATTTTTTGTTTTACTTTTAAACAGGGCTTCGATTTCTGCGGATTTTTCCTCATTTTGTGGCTTTTTGATAGGGCGATGAGGATTATTTTTAAAAATGCGGATTTGCGGATTTTTGTGGTCTTTTGAAGATTATGAGGATTTTTTATATTTTCTTGTAGTTTTTAGTATAAAATGTCATTATTTTTCTGCTAAGATCTTCCAAAATCCTCAAAATTTTCGCCTGCGGCGCTGAAAAGGGAAGATTTTTGGCTTAAGGATTTTTCAAAATTAAAAAAATTTTGCCTGCGGCGCTAAAAAGGAAAAAATAAATAAAAAATGTTCCTTAAAACCTGCGGCGCTAAATGGGAAAAAATAAATAAAAATTGTTCCTTAAAAAATTTTTTTATTCGGTTAAATTCTTTTACTGAAAAATATTTTATTAGAGCCCAAATTTTGGGGAAAAATTCTTCGTTAAAAAATTTAACCGAATAATATCTAAATCTAAAAAATGAATTTAATCATTTTTAGATGTGTTTCGAACTTTTTTTTGTTCTCTAAAAATATTTTTTATTCGGTTAAATTCTTTTACTAAAAAATGTTGGGGTCCAACTTTTGGGGTAAAAATTTTTTCTTAAAAAATTTAACCGAATAATATCTAAATTTAAAAAATGAATTTAATAATGTTTAACCAATTATCGAAATTTTTTTGTTCCTTAAAACAATTTTTTATACGGTTAAATTCTTTTACTAAAAAATATTTTATTAGGTTACCAAAAGTTTTAAAAACAAAAATTACGGCTCTTGTCCAGTTCATGCGTCCCATGAAAATTTATGCGTCCCATGAAGATTTATGAGTCCCATAAAAATTTTTGCGTCCCATGAAAATTTATGAGTCCCAAAAATAATTTATGAGTCCCATAATAATTTATGCGTCCCAAAAATAATTTATGCGTCCAATAAAAATTTATGCGTCCCATGAAATAAATTGAGGAATATTTTTTGTTAATCAATAATACTGTTCTTTATTAATCAAATACGGTATTTCTTAAAATAATACTCCCCCTTAATTAGTACTCCCCTTAAATAATCCTCCTCTTTGGAGGAGGGTCGAAAAATAGTACTCCCCCTGAATTGGTACTACCCCAAAATAGTACTCCCCCCCCCCCTAAAATATTTTTCCTTTATATTTGAAAAAAAGACTTATTGAATTATTTTATTTATTCTAAGTAGCGTTGTCGGTTTCACTTGATTTTTCGATTTTTCAATAAAATATTTTGAGGATTAAAGGATATAATCCGATTAATGGCCCTCTAATCCAAAAATACCCAGATATCCAAATACTAATATCAAATAGTCCAATAGTCAATCAATGATATCCAATAGTATTCCCCCTTGAAATTGTACTACTCCCCTTTGGAGGGGAGTTGAAAAATAGTACTCCCGGAAGTACTATTTTAGGAAATACGGTATGTAAGTATAAATGTCAAATGTTATTTTTTAATTTTTGAATATTTTTTCAATTAATTTCATGGGACGCATAAATTATTTTTGGGACTCATGAATTTTTATGGGACGCGTAAATTATTTTTGGGACGCATAACTTTTATGGGACGCATAAATTATTTTTGGGACGCATAAATTTTTATGGGACTCATAAATTCTCATGGGACTCATAAATCTTCATGGGACGCATGAACTGGACAAGAGCCAAAATTACTATATGTAGTAGGCTTAAACTTTTTTAAAAAATGGAAATAAATTTTACAAAACAAAAATAATTTAATCGAAAATCAATGAAAAACAAAATTTTTTAAAATAATTTTGTCCAATAAATCAAATTAAATTTCCGTTTTCCTTCTCTCAACTTCTACTCTTCCATTTTTCTGATTTTAATATAGTACATTGCTCCATTCCGCTCTTCATTACAAAATAAGAATTTAACTTTTGGATTGTGAATATTAACGATTTGGTATTTTGTATATTTAACTTCATTTAATTGGTTGATTTCAACGTTCTTTGCTCTTTCACTTAATTTAAAATTTCTGTAACTAAGATAATCTAAATGAATGATAGGCAGCATTTTTGGAAAGTCTCTTGAAGTTGCTATATACTGAAAATTTGGATTTATTTTTAACTTTTTACTTTGAAACTAGAATTGGGCGGGATCGGGATAAGGGGTGGACGCAAGAGACAATCTCAAAAAACGCAATACGCAAGAACGCAAAATTGGAGAAAAATTTTTTTAATTAAGTAGTAGCCATTTTCAGTTAAAAATTGAAGTATTACTATAAGTCAGCGAGTATTACTATAAGTCCTATTACTATAAGTCCTATTCGATTTTGAGATACATGTAAGTTGGATGGGTAATGATTTGGAGAGATATCAGAGATACAAGGGATTATGAAGGATATCAGAGTACAGAGTTTAACGAAGTAGCATGGGATTACGGAGATTATCATGTAATTTTGAGGGATATTAATCTCTAAATATCTTTATCATATCCTCTTAGTCACTCGATGACTATTTAAACTCACAATCCATTAATATTTTCTCGAAATTGATATATTCCGAGATATCACTACAAATCCACGATATCTTTTTAAATCCACCATAATCCCTGTAATTCGACCAATACTGTTCATTCCCTTCAGATCAACTAATCTTTCCCTTAGCTCTACTTGATCCTTCTTCATTTTTCAGCGCCGCAGGCGAAAATTTTGAGAATTTTGGAATGCCAGAAGCCAGATTTCTTCCTTTCTTAGCGTCGCAGGCGAAAATATAAAATCGGTATTCAAAAAACCGGGATAATACCGCACGATCGTGATTGGGATCTCAATCCGGCCCAACTTTATTTTTAAATTTACTTCTATAATAAAATCATATAGCTTCTTTGTTAACTTGAATCCTCTTAAATAAATTTTTGGAAGTTTGTTTCCTTCATTTTTTAAAATATTGAATAAAATATCAACATGTTGTTTTGTAATGTCAATTCTATCCAGATAGATACTAAGAGCTTCAGAAATTGATAAATGATTTACAGAATAATTCAGAAGACTCTCAAATGTTTTTTCTTCGCGAGGATATAAAGATGGTTGTTGAATGTTAAATTTAAGAGAAATTGTTTTGTCGTTATCAAATAAAATATTGATCATTTGTGGATTAAATATATATTTAGAAAAATGAATATATTTAAAAGCGCACTTGAATAGTTGTTCTAACCAGCAACGAACATAAATCATTTCTTCAATATTTTTTGGAATTGTTGGCAGTTTAAAAAAATACATTTTTTGGCACACCATATGAGGGCTTTTAACAAGCAAATTCTTTACAGATTCAGACTCATTTAAAACCAACGGAATTGATTTGTCTATCGCTGCTTGCCACTAAAAAAATAAATGAATAATTTAATTAAAAATTAGTTTAACCTTCTCTTTAATCTGATCATCCAAAGTAAATTCAAAAATACCAGATTTAAGTTCAATGTAATCAAGAAAACCCGTCCTTTCACGTTCACTAATCTTAAAAATAAAGAAAAAATCAGTGAAATTTACAAAAATAAATATTTACTATTGAGAAATCACTAAATTTCTTTCGTGCCAATCCTCCCTCATATTTATTAATTAAATTGCGCAAGTAAAAATTGGTTTGTTTAATAGAGAATAATTGGTCGAAATCAAGACATTTTAATACATCAAACTGAACCTCAATTGGAAGAGAAAACATTTTAATTGTCTAAAAAATAATTGAAAATAATTCTAATAAAATATATAAAATCAAAAATTTGCAATTTTATTGTGAAAAATTAAGAGCAAAGATAAATGAGGAGATCAGCTTAACTTAATCTCTTATACTAAAAACGCGCATTAATAAACTGTGCTATCGATATAAATAATACACTACCAATAAGAAATAGCTAACAATGAGCACCGAATTTATTGTTGGTAACACTAACAAAATAGCAGAGTAGTAATAAAATAACAATACAATGAAGCCCAAACTAAATAATAGAATGGCTTTTATACTAAACCCAATACCTAACACAGTTCTAGATTTTAAAATACATATGACCAAAAATAAATTTATATCCTACAAACTCTACTTTCTTTATTTTAATTTTAACTTCAAAAATCGACTCAGTATTCCATTCTTCATTGCAAAATGAAAATCTCACTTTTGGATCATAAATATTGGCAACTTGATAAATGGCAGATTTTAAATCATTTATTTTTTCAATGTAGACTTTTTTGCTCTTCCGACTAATTTAAGACTACCATGAATTGTGAAGGAAAATTTTAAAAAAAATTCAGGATGAGGACGACCCATAAAATATGTATAAAAATTTCTCTGTAAAAATTTTAGATATTGAAAAACAATAAATTTTTAATGTTTATCAAAAGAGAAAAATTTTAAAACTGATTTTTAAAACAAATAAATGAAAGCCATAGATCGGAAATGGACTTCTGAATCTACCTAGAAATTGATTTTAAAATTATATTAAACTATATCCAATAAAAATAAGCCATTTCATAAATAATTCGGAGAACAAAAAATTCAAGGCAGACCCAGTCCATAAATTTAAAATAAATTTCAAAAAAATAGATTTAACAATAAATTCGTTCGAATTCAACGCCATTGCTTACAACCCTCCAGTATACAATAGAAAATTTAATTTTTGGATTATAAATATTGGAAATTTGGTATATCGGTTTGTTCCAACGTCCACTTGCTTCTTCAACCTTTTCAGCCTTCTCATTTAAACGATCAAAACTACTACCAATTTTATTTAATTCAATTTTAGCAACCATCTTTGAACAATCTTTTGACGTTTTGATATACTAAAATACAAAAAATTATTAAATAAAAATATGTATATAATTTGGGTTCTTCATATTCAGTCAGTCCTCGGTTTTAGAAAATTCGATTTAAAAAAAAATAAAATTTGGGTTACGAACCAGAAATAATTCAAAGCTAATAGGTTTGTTACTTTTGATTTCGAAAAAGAACAAAAAAACCTACATTAATAACCAAATCAAAAAGTTCTGGTATGCCATAACTACAATTTATAATGACATTTCTAAACTTGTCTCCATTAATCAAAATTTTGTGTAAAATATTTATATATTCTTCCTTATTGTTTTTGGAATAAAAATTGATAAAATAAGATTCGCAAATTAAATGATTCACAACAAATTTTAATAAGTTTTCGCTATTGTAGGCCTTAGAAAACGTTAAAAACGCATCACGCATAACATAAAATTGTTTGGGAATTTTAGCATTTCCAAATAATAATTGAAGCAGTTCTGGATTGAGTATAAATTCATTAATGTCGGCATATTCGAAAGAACAATTAAATAATTTATTCAAATAATAATAAACAATTTTGATGTCCTCTTTGCTTACAATAATTGTTGGTAGTTGAAGCATATTGTAGTAAACTAAAAAAATTTTCTCGAGTCTTAATTATTCTTAGTTATGTTCAGAGTTGTTTCGAAATTTTGTGATATTTTCGATTTCCGATTTTTGTAAAAAATTTGAATTTTCGCGCCAAAAATGAGGAATTCTGACATATCGGCCATCATATATTTGAAAAATTTTCGTCTGCGGCGCAGAGAAAGGAAGATTTCTGGATTAAAATTCTACCAAAATTCTCAAAATTTTTGCCTGTGGCGCTAATTGGAGGAAGCCTTGATCTATTAACAATATTATGCTTCGGGGTAATAGTTATTTTTCTTTCGATTTCGAAGATTTTGAAAAATATTTTCGGTTTCGATATTTTTGGATTTCTTTCGATTTTCGGAGGTTTTTGTTTCGAAACATCTCTAATTATGATTTATTCAGTTCGAGACCCAAGGCAAATGGAGAGTCGTACAAGACAAAAAAGGAAAAAGTATCGCTTAACTTTTTGAAAATCATCCAAATTTCATTATGAAAAAAAGATTACCTTTAGTTAAACAAATGATAATATTTCTTCGACAAGGCAAATACAAATGAATCGGATCTTGTAGTCCGTTGCTCCACTAAAAAGGAAAGAAATTATGACTTTACTCTTTTCACTTAACCTTTTGTTCAATTTGTTCATTTATTTCTTTATATTGCTTAGCAAAAAAGGCAAAGTCAAAATTTTCTTTAGATTTAATTAATTTATAAGGAATTTCTTTGTATCGACTCAAATACCCCTTAAATAAATTTTTAAAAATTAGATCATTAAAAAATTGTTACAATTTTAATGTCTTGAAATTCCTCTCGAGCAAGTTCTCCTTCAAATTTATTAACAAAATCACAAAAATGTAAATTTGTTTGCTTAATTGAACATAAATCTTCGTAATTGAGGAATTTAAAAATATAAAGTTTAATTTCTGTAGGCAATGAATAAAGCATTTTTTGAAGAAAATTTAATAAAACACTAAAAATTGAGTTTAAAATTACTTAAAAATCTATGTATGAATTTGTTAAGTACTAAACTAAAATCAAAAAACATGGGATTATTCCAAAAAATGAAAAGATTGTTTTGATAGAAGTTATTCCAACAGCGGAAACAGTCATCAAACCTTAACAGGTGCCGAAATTAAAATAAGAAAAATTACAGCATTATTGTGGGATATGAGAGAAAGCTAAAATTAAGAGAGTATAAGAGCGTTAGACAAAATTTGGTTAAAATGTCATATTTGGCAAAATGACAATTGATGGGTATTTCCAGTTCATCGCCAGTCCTAATTCGCCTACAATTTTTCCATTGTGCTATAATTGGACCAAATTTGAAGAGAGAAAACTAAAACTTTATGAGGCTTGTTGTTTGAATTAAGAAAGTAGATTAATAAAAAGCCTAACAAAAAAATATTTTTGATTTGATAAAATTTAAACAAATAGGTATGTACATTAGAATAAAATATAAAAAAATGTTTAGCAAAAAATCAAAAATTCTTTAAAATGGTTTTGAAAAAGTAATTTGTGTTCAAAAAAATAAATTTTTTGGACACGCCCAGAAATAGGTTTTAATTTTGAACTTATACTGGAAAAGATTGAATGAGAATAATTAATTTTGGAAAAGTCAGAGAAAATAAAATCTGAGCAATCCCTTCCAATTCCGAAAAGTAAAATAAAAATAATGTACTGAAAAAGATTTAACAATAAATTTGTTCAATTGATAATCCTTCAATTTTCAACAATTTTTTCAGCCCTTTCATTAAACTATCCAAATTAAAATAAATATCATTTAATTAAATATATTAATTGTTTAATTTCAACATTTTCTGCTTTTTCACTTAATTTAAATTAAAATGTGCATAAAAATCTATTGACATTTCAACTATTTAATTCCTAAACTTTTAAAAATATCAAGTTATGTTTATGTTGGTAAAGAAAAACATTTTGAAAATTTATTTAAACAATAGGAATTAACTGAAAAATGCTAAAAGCTGTATTAAGTAAAATGGCATAAAAATATTTAAAAATAAATGGACAGGCATTAACTGTTAAAAATGTAACGAAAATAAATTTAATAAAAAATAATTTAATTGAAAAAGTCAATGAAAAACAAAAAGAATTTTTAAAATATTTATATCTTGGATGAATCAAAAAACTTTATTTTCGTCTTCTCAACTTCTACTCCTTCATTTTTCTGATTTTAGCATTCAAAATCCTTCCACCTTTTCCATGTTCATTACAAAATGAGAACCTAACTTTTGGATCGTGAATATTGGCTAATTGGTATTTTGTGTATTTAACTCCATTTAATTGTTTAATTTCAATATTTTCTGCTCTTTCGCTTAATTCAAATTTTAGAGGCCAAGCAAATTGTAGAGAAATATTAGACACCATTTGTGAACAGTCTTCAGATTTTGTTATATGCTTAAATTTGTATTATATTATTTGGCATTTATTTTTAATTTTATTACATTATAATATGTTAGGTATTTATTTGGCTTTTTTCGAAATTCCCCTATATTCCCTTTGGCATCTTATTAACCGAAAAAGATGAGGATTTTCTTTACCTAAATTTGAATTTTCCCTAGATAACTTACTTTAACAATATCATAATAAAGCCATTCCAACTTGAGATTTCTTAAAAGAATTTTTGGTAAGTCATAACCTTTCATTGTTATGATATCCAATAAATTTGAATTATCCGTCCAGTATAAGCCATTATTACCAAAATTGATGGTAAGACAATCAGTAATTGTTAAATGATTTGAAACAAATTTCAAAATATTATTAAATGAAACAAATCTCTTAGGAAAAAGATTTGGTTTTTGAATGTGAAATTTGGGAGAAATTGTTTTGTCGTCATTGAATAAAAGATTAATTAGTTTTGGATTAAATACAGCTTCATCAAACAAAGCATATTCAAAGACAGAATTAGTAAAAAGTTGTCCCAAACTATAACGAATAATAGCCAATTCTTCAAAGCTTCTTGGAAATGCTGGCAATTTTAGAATATAATAACGAGCTTCGTTGTTCAATAAATTGTCAAAGGTTCTCTCAATAGAAACAACAGAGTTTAAAGATTTTCCATTATTTTCAGAAAAAATATCAAATAAAAGTAATGGAAAGGATCTATGTCTAGGTACTATCGGTGCTTGCCACTGAAAAAATATAATTTAATTCGGAACCGTTGCCGTGTTGTGGTAGCGGGATCGCCACTACTAGATTTTCAGAAATCAAGAATTTTGTTTTTAGTGTCGGCACTACACGCTCCGAATGGTGAGCTTAGCTTTGCTTGTAAATCACGAGGCAGAAATGTGCTGACTACTAGTGTTCGGCACGGTACGGTATACCGCGGTATTTTTCCCGGTATACCGCGGTATTTTTTTCCGGTATACCGATACCGTACCGGTCAAATTTTGAAAAAAACGGTATTTTTCGGTATCGGTATTTTTTCGGTATACCGATACCGTACCGGTCCTCGAAAAAATACCGCGGTATTTTCCGGTATTTCGGTATTTGTGAAATTCTCAAAATTTTCGCCTGCGGCGCTGAAAAAGGAAGAAATCTGTCTTCTGGTCTTCCAAAATTCTCAAAATTTTCGCCTGCGGCGCTGAAAAAGGATATATAGGGACATTCTATTAGAGGGGGCATTGTATTTTTCAATTATCCTTCTGGGGCATTCTATTAAAGGAGGGCTACTACAAACAAACTACTACAAACAAGCAGTGCTTAGAAATTTCATAATTGCTAGTACTCGTATTTAGTACCATTTCTAATTTTGGCCCCGTACTTGTACTTTGCATAGTACCATTTTTTGTTAGTTCTCGTACTTATCCTATTTTTGGCCTAGTACCAATATTTTGTACTTCGGAGTATGAATTTCATATAAGAACTTTGTTAAGAGTATGAATTTTGGTACGAGCAAAAGGTACGAGCCACTATGTAAAAATTGAGTACGGAAAAAATGGGGGGGGTGAACTTGAAATTTACCCAAAAAGTATCCAAAAATTTAATTTTTAACCTTTTTACGCTTATCATTTAAAATATATTTAACAAATCCAGGCTTGGGTTCAATGATTTTATATGAATCCAACTCTTGAAGATTAACATTCTAAAATTGAATTACAAAAAAATTTTTTGTTAATATTACTATTGAGAGTTTTTTGAATTTCATTCGAAAGCACAATTCTCCCTCATACATATTTATTAATTAAATTGAGAAAGTAGAAATTTATCAATTTAAAAGAAATTAATTGATTAAAATTAAGACATTTTAATACATCAAGTTTTGCTTCAATTGGAAGAGAATACATTTTTAATTATCTAAAAATAGGGGAATAATCTTGAGATAAATAAAAATAAATAACAAAATCCGTTAGATTTGCTTGTTCGAATAAGGATGTCGGATTAGGATGTAAATGAACTACTCAAAAAACAGCGGTAAGAGATGCCATTTTTCTATGAAATTTTGTTTAATTAGTGAAAAATAAAAACGGAAAATACGAAAAGTAGTAGGTAAAAAATGATTTATTTTTTAAAAAAAGTCATCTAAAATAACTGAATGGCAAATAAATGTTGGAAAAAGAAATTTTTGACTTTATAAGTTTATTTTGCTTTTATTCCTTCTCATTGCTAATTACACAGAATGGGCGTTGTTTTAAAAAGAACGTGTGAATGCCTCACAAAGGCAATAACTTTTTATATTAAATGTTAATTTTCAAATGATAGAGGGAAATTTTGAAAAATTGTTTAAACGATCAAATGTGTAAGAATAAATTGACAGGGTTTAAGCTGTTAAAAATTGAAACAAAGAAATTTTATTAAAAAATTAATTGAAAGTAAATAGAAAACAACAATTTTTAAATAGATATTAGGGTTGTTAGCGACCGGTTATTAACCGGTACCCTCGGTTTTCGGTTATCGCCGGTTTTCGACCCCCGGTTTTCGGTTCCGGTTAATTTGCCAAAAACACCGGTTAACGGTTCCGATTCGGTTAACCGTCCGCAAACAACCCTAATAGATATGTATATTGTTGTCCAATAAATCAAATTAAATTGTAATTTTCCTTCTCTCAAGTTCTATTCTTACATTTTTCTGATTTTAATATAAATTGATCCATTCCGTTGTACTCTTTTATAATTCTGATTTGAATGTCAAAATCCGAAAAAGCACTGTGACTTTCTTTATTACAAACTGAGTATTTAGCTTTGGAGTTGTGAATATTGGAAATTTGATATTTTGTAAATTTAATTCTATTTAATTGTTTAATTTCGACCTTTTCTGCTCTTTCACATAATTTAAGACTTGTAGGGGAAGAATAATCCAAAATAATTTCAGACACTATTGTCGAACAGTCTCTAGATATTGCTATATACTGAAAATTTTGAATTTAATTTTAATCCAGAAATGAATAAATTACTTCAACAATATGTTCATAAAGCATCGTTACATTTAAAAGAAAATTTGACATTTCTGGAGTATTATAAAACTTCAAATGAACTTTTTTAAAATTGTTTCCTCTAATCATTAAAATTTTAAATAAAGTATCTCTATATTTTTCCAGAATGTCTTTATCTAGATAAAATTCAATTGCAAGTGTTTCACCAACTAGATTGTTCAAAATAAATTGAAATAAATGCTCAATATTGTGAGCAAAATTAGACAGAATGCAATTTTGGACATAGAATTGTTTGGCATTTCCAAATAATAATTGAATCAAGTTTGGATTGAATATAAATTCATCAAAGTCACAAGAATCATAAGAACAATTAAACAATTTATTTAAATAATAATGAACAATTTTGATTTCATTTTTGCTTTTAATAATTGGTGGTAGTTCAAGTAAATATAAATCTTGATTAGCTGAAAATTTATAAAAGAAATTTAGAAGACGCTTGTGAAAACCGGCCTGGATATCGCTTTCTGCGGTATACATGCCTTACTTTCTCCGTTTTTAATCAAAATTTAACCTTTAGCGACGAAGATAACAATATTTTTGTTTGAATCTTGAGCAGATAAATATAAAGGAGTTGGCTTTTCTAGTCCATTTTTCCACTAAAAGGAATCATAATTATTATGTTTTATTTACTTACTTGCTCTTCGAGTTGTTCATTCAATAGTAAGTCAAAATTTTCAGCTTTTGGTTTAATTACCAAATCTGTTTTGAATCGATCCTTAAAGAATAATTTTTAAAGATTAATTAAAAAACGTTACAATAGAAATGCAATCTAATTTCTCCCGAGCTAGTTCTCCTTCAAAATTATTGATAAAATCTCGAAAATATAAATTCGTTTGTTTGATTGAACATAATTCATTAAAACTAAGGAATTTAAAAATATCAAGTTTTGTTTCTAGTAGTAAAGAATAAAACATTTTTTGAAAAAAATAAAGCACTAAAAAATAAAAAAAATTATTTAAAATACTTTAATAAATTTGAAATAATTAAGAATATTTATGGTTCGCAAAATATAAAAGCATCAAAATAATATAAGGTAGACTTAAGCAAAAATAGTGAAGGAAAAAATTAATTTGATAAAAATTACCAGCGGGAGATCATTTATTTCTAAATTCAATTGTATAGATAGTAATTTTCTCAGTATCGGTAAAACTCCCTTTGATCGGTAAAACTACGGTTGGTAAAGGAAGTTTTTACTTGTCCCATAAAAAATGAGTAAGGCAAATGACCAATATTTCTCCCAAGCAAGCATAATTTCTTCAAAAACGTCTCCTCCTTCACCAAGCACATAAATTTAGCAAAATAACTCAAAAAGTGATGACGTGCTGTTCACTTTGCTCCTTATTTCTCCATATTGCATTACCTCAGTCCTTCTACTTTTTTAATTTTACGTCCAGTGTCTGGGTCAGTAAAGCTGTATCTATTTTAAATTGATGTTATTTGGTAATCTGATTGGATATTTAATTGTTTTTGAATCTTTTTTTGGCTAATAAGCTTCTTTAGATAAAATTAAAATGTTTTCGCTTCCACATGAAGTTCAGCTTGATATATTAAAATGCCTTAATTTCAACCAATTATTCTCTCTTAAACAAACAAATTTTTACTTTTGCAATTTAATTAATAAATATGAGGGGGAATTGGCACGAATGAAATTCTATAAACTCTCAATAGTAAATATTTATATTAACTAAGTAAATTTGAATTAAGCATCCGAATGGATTTCTTCAAAAGCCATATAAATTCCTTAAACATAAACCTCGATCTGATGTATATATCTTAAATGACCGACTTGTAAACAAGGTTAGCATTTAAAATATTAAGTAAAATTTTAATTGTTCTCTTTTTTTAGTGGCAAAAAGCGATAGATATGTACATGCGTTTGTATTTAAGTACGGGACAGACAAAAAATTTAGTTGGCTTGGAAAAAGTTCTTGCTATACTTGACAAAAAGATTCCTATTTGTTTGGAGGAAACAGGTTTAAAAATAATTGTTAGGATATAAAATAATCAAAAACCTTGTAAGAAAATGCTCATTACCATAAGCACTGCTAGACACTAACTTTTTATACAATGAAGACAACAGTCTATTTGTTCCGTTTTCTTTTTAGTGAACAACGAACCACGCTATTATATTCTAGAATTTCCAAACTTTCCAAGAAGTATTGAGGACATGATTGGTATTCGTTACTTTTTGGGTCAACTTTCTAATTGTGCTTTTGACTTTTTTGTGCTTGATCAAATTGTATTTTATTTAAAAATGATTGATATATTATTTTATGATAAAACAACTCCTCTCCAATTTCACATTAAAAACCCAAGTCTATATGCTGCCGGATATACGTTTAACGATACTTGGAAATTCGTTACAGATTATTTGGAAATTTCTGAATGCCTTTACATCAATTTGGAACTTATTTACACTGAACATTTTTATTTTATATTCAATGTTTTAATAAATGAAGGCAACAAATTACCTAAAGTTCATCTTGAATTTAATAAAATTGAAACTTTTTTACAACCTTTTAATATTTTTATTGAAGTAAGTATATCCCGACTTTTTAAATCAATTTAATTTCATAAATATATTTTTAGCAAGTAGCAACAGCTAAAGACTGTTCAAAAATGGTGCCTATTATTGATTTAAATTATACAGTCATGGTCATATGTTTAGACTCGAGGCAAATTTTTAATCCAAATAATTTTGATAAAAAGAACTATAATTGTTTACTATTTTATTGTAGCTTTTATTGGTGTAAATTCTGTCATAAGTACCGGAAACCGATTCAAATAAACAATATGTAATTAGAAAGAGCTCGTCATTCTAAATCGAGCGACACCAAAATTAGGCGCCGTTCTCGTTTGTAGATCGAGATATAGGTCTTCGAGAAAGAAACCATAGGGGGCAGAGCTAGCATCAGCCTGGGCATCGTGAAAACAAAAATTTTCGCCCGCGGCGCTAAAAATATTGAGTTACTTTATTTTTCCTATATACATTCTAAAAATTTTGGTGTTTGGAAATAATTTTAAAATTTCACGGTTGCGCCGTGAAATTATACAGTCATGGTGAAAATTTTGGAAAATTTTTCCACGCGAAAATTTCGGCGCACATCCCTGAGGGTTGCACATTTTAAGGGTCAAAAATCGATTTTACAAATAATCATACAAATAATTCATTCGAGAGCTTCTTAAGCTGAGTCAAGACCTTGTGGTTAGGTGACCTGGTTACCTAACCAGCAACCGGCGGTTAAAATCAACCGGTAGCATAAGAAGCTGGTTAGGTAACCTTACGACGGTGGTTAACCACGTGGTTTTCTTATTCTACCGGTTTACAATGACCTTGTGGTTACCTAACCATGGTTAGGTGATGATGGTTAGGTAACCATCGACAGGTGACCGAGTTCTTATTCTACGGGCCCAGAACAAACGTATCCGATCTAATCGAACAAAGTTATACTGTTGTTTTAGATCCCTACCTGCGGTCTCCGTAGAGGTCTTCTCCTGCGAATGAAGCTAAATATGCTCACTGCCGCGAAGATAGGAATAGGTTTGATACTAGTGTAGAACCCAGCGGGCCGTTGACTCTCCACGTGACACGCGCCGCAAAACCCCGTGCTTCGCTCGGGGTTTTTCACTAGCGTCTCACCGACGCCCATAGGTTTACTTGGTTTATTTTTAATTTTTAGCTTAATTTATGTAATAAAATCTAAACATATGACCATGACTGTACTAATCCCGTAAGGTATAAATTAAGTGAAAGAGCAGAAAGAGTTGAAATAGAACAACGGGGGAATTTAACAATTACGCGTTATGAAATTGCTAATATTTACAATTCAACAGTGAAATTTTCATTTTGCAACCAAGAATTGAGAGATGGATCGCTTTTTAAGTTTAGAATTATTATAATGAAAGATCGTGATTTGAGAGCATGAAATACATATAAATTTTAAGGATTCGTGATTCTATAATTATATTTTGTAAATTATTAATAGGGATCAGTTTAGGCTGTAAAAACTTAAAAATAGGTACTTAAATTGGTCCCGCGCCTATTCGTCTCGCGCCTATTCGTCTCAGCGCCTATTCAGCCGCGCCTATTCGTCGGCGCCTATTCGGCCGCGCCTATTAGTCCTGCTCCGTCCTAGACCTTTCGGTATGTACATCTTAACCAGGGAAAGAGGGCAGCAACAACATAAACACCAAATTAACTCATACCTGTATAATAAAATTAATAAATTTTGCCAAGTCCTGAAAAATCATAAACTCTGCAGATAAAAATCTATTTCCTCCATTTATTAACATCTCTAATAAAATATCAATTTCTTCTTGTTTTAAAATGGAATCCACAATATTAACGTCAATTGTATTAGAAAGTATATAATTGAATGGAGATTTTGATAGTAATACATCATTAATAAATAAACAGCAATTTTGAGAATAAATTTGTTTGTCTTCTTCAAATAATAATTCAATGATTTTTGGATTAAATATAACATAAGAAAAATAAAAATAATCAAAGCAACAATTAAAAAGTTGTTCAAATAAATAACGAACAATCTTCATTTCCTCGATATTTTTTGGATAGTTTGGAAATTGTAAATAAATATACTCATCGTTTAAATCTTAATTATTAAAAATTTATAGAAAGGTTGAATTCCGAGAAACATAGGGAAAAGTGTACCCCACTCCCTCCCACCACAACTGTTCAAAATATTGAAAAGCTGGCTAATGCTTTGTTCCAGTGATGGGTCGAATGAAAAAAATGTTATGTTTAATGTTTTCTTGCTTCACGGACATTTCCGATATGGCGGAGTGGTGCCATTCGACTCAGCTCGCCGAAACGAGTAAAATGGCATAAATTTCGAAGGGCTTTTGAATCGGCCACCAACCAGAGTATAACCAAATTAATTAATACTTTTTTTCAATTCGCAACAAACGGTTTTCATGTTCGTATCAGCTGTACTTAGAAACACAGGAATTGATTCTTCTATACCACACATCCACTAAAATTATTATTTTTAGAATGAATACAAACGGTCGAATCTTGATAAATTGTCATGCGAGTACTGGGCATAACTCCAATTACCGCACGTAACGAAGAATACCAAATTACTAAAGAGTAACGCGGTAGGACCTAACCTTGCCGAACATATTAGATTCGACTATATATTTTTTACCTTTTTCTCGAGTAGTTTACTCAATTGAAAGTCATAAAGATTTAGTTCTGGCTTAAATAATTTGTATTTATTTGTATTATTCTCGGCAATGTTAACCTAAAAAAGAATTTGAAGTCGATAAAATTTAAAATATAAATTACAATCGCAACTTCAAATAAACATATTCTGGCCAAATCTTTTTCGTATTTACCAATAAAATTATTAAAATAAATATTTGTTTGTTGAAAAGATAATAATTGATGGTAATTGAGATATTTAAATATATCTAGTTGAATTTCTGGAGGAAGAAGAAAATACATTCTTTTAAAC